TATATATATCCATATATATATCCATATATAAAATTTCTGGAGCAATGCTTAAGTGGCATTTTCACAGAAATAAATTCTTCAATTGCCAATAGGTCCATACTTATTTTCCTGTCTTCGATTTTGATATGACCATTGCCATGATGCTGTGATAAAGAGGTAAAAATTAAATAAATACAATTGAAATTAAGAATAAATACAAGTTTTCAATAATAATTAATAATTTAACTCTGTCATATATTTGTTTTTACCTCATCATTACAGGTTGCTACTAGGAGTTCTTGTCATGGATTATCTTCAGTTCCATGAAATTGAACAACTTACAAGTGATGCAATAGAAAACAAGTGATTGTGGTAATTGACATAAAAGTGTGTTGGTGTGCCCTAGCAGGTACTTTGTAGTGGAGCCACCAGGCTATGGCTAACCTGAACTTTGAGCAGCCACCACGCAGTATTGCGAACGCAAGCCTTACATCGCGCACAGGTGGTGGGGGGGGCTTAAATTCATCGACCCTTACGGGTCATGTCACACCTACCTCGGGCATGTTCTCAGGCTCATCCACAAGCACTTCCAGTACAGCTAATTCTGCGGTAGTAGTTACTAACGTTTATCCTGGAGCATCAGGGACAGGAGGTGGACAAAATAATCATCAACCTCAACAACAGCAGCTCTCTCCTATGGGCAGCAGAGGACTGTTTGGGCAGAGGGCTTTTACAGATAGACGTACAATGCCTGCTCTTGGGTTAGTTTTTTTTATAATAGTTAGGAAAATTTTTCATTTTTATTATATTTGTAATATTATTATATGTTTATTATGTTTTATAATAATCCTATTTATTAGATAAAAATAATATATAGTAATAAAAATACTAATATAAATTTATAGAACTTCGAATCCAATGGGTAGCATGGGCACATTTGGAATACCTCAAAGTCGTAATTACGGATCTCAAATCAATAATTTTCACTCCGTTTTTGGTAGTGGAGGAGGTGGAGATACAAGTACTCCTCCATTATTGGATCTATCTGAATTTCCTTCGTTAACGAACAGAGGACAAGGTGATTCTATGCCACAACCTAGTCCTATGCCAGGAAAACAACCTTATGGTTTGTATTCATAATAATTTAAGTTTTGATATAATAAAAATATAATATATTATATATAATATTATGACTTTTTTTAAAAATTCACATAAATTATAATTAAATTTGAAAAATATTTTTTGATTACTTGAAAAATATGATAATTTTAATTTATATATGATAATAAAATATATTTAATTATATTAAATATCAATTAAAATTATCATATATACATACAAATTTCATATTTAATTTTTATATTTATATTTATAATTATAGTTGGAATGGTAAAACAACCAACATCCGAATCAAGTGAGTTTACAATGAGTTCTGAGGATTTTCCAGCATTACCAGGAACACAAAATAGAGAAGGGCCATCACCAGGTGGAAGTGTTTCTGGAGATAAAAACATATCTGTTGGACTTGGCCCTGAAATTGGACAAGATGTATTACAAGCAAATAGAGCACCTGGATCAGAAAAGTCTCAGTCATCTAAAAGAGGCATACAAACATCTCCTGATGGTATTTATTATTATTATTTAATATTTAATATTTATAATATTAATAATTATATTTATAAATTAAATTTATTATTTAATATTATTTTATAGTACTTTGCTATCTAAAAATTTTGTTTTTTATAACTATTTATTATTACATTATTTAGGCAAAGTGACCAATATACCAGCTAGTATGGTAAAAGATCAGTTTGGAATAGTTGGGTTACTGACATTTATTAGGGCAGCTGAAACAGATCCGAATTTAGTATCTTTGGCATTAGGTCAAGATTTAACTGCATTAGGATTAAATCTTAATTCACCAGAAAGTCTTTATCAAAATTTTGGTGGACCTTGGGCAGAAACACCATGCCGACCTCAGGATATTGATTTTCATGTACCACCAGAATACCTTATTAATGCCGCCATCAGGTATTATATCGATTTTTTTTATAATAAATTAAATAAATTATATAATATTAATTATATATATAATTTTAAATATAAATTATTATAATAATTAAACTTATGTTTATTTTAGAGATAAGTTAGCACCAGTTAAACTAAATCGATACAAGGATGATTTACTATTTTATATGTTTTATACAAATGTTGGAGATGTATTGCAATTAGCAGCAGCTGCAGAATTGTAAGAATTTTTTTATATTTACAAATTCAAATTTTTTAATATTTTTTTAGTCATTTTTTAATAAATATGATCTTATTTGAATTATAAAGGTACAGTAGAGAATGGCGATATCATATGGAAGAAAAGGTTTGGATAACGCAAGCACCAGGATTAGGACTTGTAGAAAAAACATCAACATATGAACGTGGTACTTATTATTATTTTGATGCGCAAAGTTGGAGAAAAGTAGCAAAAGAATTTCATTTGGATTATACAAAACTAGAAAGTAGACCTCATCTTCCCACAAATTTTCATCAAACCCAGCCTTGACTACAGGTATTTATAAAAATATAATTTTTTAAATTATTATTTTTGTTAACTTGTATCTAAAAAAAATATTTATAAATATTTTTATTAAAAATTTTTTTGTTGTAGATCTGCTTGCAGACCATTGTACTGTCTTTAAGTTGGACAGGAAACAGCTATTGTATAAATGAACAAATTTAATAATCTTTAATAAAAATATAAAATTTGAAGAGTACAGAAATGAAGTTCTTTAATTACTGACTCAATTAGAAATGGAAGTGAGTCTAATGTATTTGATATTGACAAATGATTTTGATACATGATCCTATGTGTTAAATATTTAGATGCTTATATATAGAATAATGTACTTTTCAATGATATTATAATGATCATTATGATTTTAGCAGTGTATATAATAAAAATAATAAGTAGTACTAAACTAAATTTTGACATTTAGGCAACTCAAAATACAATATGTTCATAAAATCTTTATGTATATGATCATTTATTTTGTACCTATGTAATTAAGAATGTAAATGAACTGTTTTTTAAGAAACAAATTTATTTTCATAATTTTTCATACTGCATTTATTTTTTCTTAAATTTTGTTAATTTGTTTTTATTATCTATTAAAATTCATAAGCTACATTAGTAAATTTTTATATGTACAATTATATGTACAAAATCTTTAAAAAATATTGAATTGAAATATCAAATATCATAAAAATATCTTTGTTAAAATTTTACAAAATTTTACAAAACATGAATTACATAATAATCAATCTTATATATATATATTATTTGAAAAATATGAAATGAAATTTTTTTATATAAATAGAAAATCAATCATAAGAATAAAATAAATTAAATTTCAATGTATTTTATTTCTAAATATTCTAGCAATATCAATTGATGTAAAGTATAATTTAATTGATAACAAGTATTAAAAGAAATTTTTGTATTACTTGATTTATATTAAATATTTTTATCTTTTTATATCGATAATGTTTATAAATTTTAGCCTTAAGAAATTAATTTATTACACATTAAATTATCAAAATATGACTCAATTCCATTTCTAGCTTCTGATTATTAAACCACAGTATTATTATTTGAAATATTTTCCTATATTATATAATCTCATTATTTTTATATTTCTCATAAAAAAATAATTTTAGAAAGAATTTTGATACCTTTTTAAAATTGTAAAATTTTTTTCATAATTTTTCATACTGTGTTGAGAGATTAATTATATCTTCAGAAGCATTTATAAAATAATTTTCAATATAATTTTGACTATGTTTTTCACATTCATGTAGGTAGTATCTATTAATATAACATATATAATTAAAGATATAAAATATATTAAATATATAAAATTAAATTATATTTTAATTATGAATTAAATTACCTGTAGTTTACCATAATTCCACAACTGTTTCCAACACCACGTGGTGAAGGATCAGCCAACCAATTTATTCTCCACATAACAGCTCCATTACGAAGATGGAAGTTTGCTGTGATTTAAAAAATATTAAGTTTATATTTATTTTCTAACTAAAATTTAACTATTATTTGATTTATGATAATCAATTTACCAACACTATCTAAAGCATAATTTCGTCTTTTTTCTTTATATAAATACCAAGCACATGCTCGAAGTAATGGTTTTTTTAAAACTTCGCTTATTTTAATATCTTGAGTCCATAATGAATTATTAAAATTTTTTTTAACCAAAAACTATATTTTTTTCTTTTAAAATTTCTTGTACAGAATTACATTCTTCATTTGTGAAAATATTACATATATCTAAAAAGAATTTTATGTTAAAATATAATTTTTTAATTTTCTGAATCCTTTTATATATATTAATAAATTTTATTTGTAAATTTTTAAAAAAATGTAATTACCTTGTTTTATTTTTTCTAAAAACCATATTCTAAAATTAGGTATTGGTGATAATGAAGATAATTCATGAATCATGGGAAATTCTGATATCACTTCTTTTGCCACTTCTTTTATTAAATAATTACCAAGTTCAATACCCTAAAAAGTACTTTTTTCATTAATTTCTTCTTTTATTCTATCAATGATAAATTTTCAGATAATTATATAATTACTTGTAATCCTTTCTGTGTGGAAGTTATTGAATAAAATATTGCAGTTTTTATTTTGCTTTTATCTTCTTCTAAAAATGTTATTCTTTTTTTAAATTACCAAGAATTCTGACTTTTGCTTCATCAATATCTTTTATACTATCTATATATTGATATGTTTTATATTATTCATTATATTGAATTTAATTTGTAATATTATTTTATTAAAATACTTATATAAATATATATAAATATATAAATGTACCTGGTATAATATCACATAATGCTGTATGTAATACAACAAGAGGTTCTCGTGGCATAGATAAATGAGTAAAAATGTAACATCTTCTATATGGCCCAACTCTTTGTTTTAAATCTAACCAATTTTTTATAGGATGTATTGCTTCATAATCTGAAATCTTATTATTTTCAAATTATAACTATAAAATGTTTATAGTTATATTTTTTTACGTATTTGATTCTATTAGATTAACTAATATCATATAATGTATATATCATATAAAATTTTCTTATGTACTTTTTGTAAAATATCGCATGAAGTTTGCCATGTAATTCTTTCTAAATATAAGAATCCTACTGAAAACCAAAGTAATAATAAATCTCGTAGGGTAATATTCAATTGCTGTATTGCAATACTTTCATCTGTATCTTTAATTTTTAATATTAAGTCCTAGAAAAAATATTTATATCAAAAATAAATAATATTATAATATTTGTAATATTATATTTAATTATATAATATATTCAATCTTTTTAAAAAAAATTTTTAATATAAACTTTATATATTAAAAAATTACATAGATTATTAATTACAATTTTAATGTATATTAATTTCATAATCAGAATTAATAATAAAATTACTTACTAATATATCTGTTCTTAAATCAACAAGAAATTTCACACCATTTTCAAGTCTTCCAATCATAATAAACAACCATTGATAATCTGGTGTTAAAACATTTCTTAAATTTCGTTCATAAGAAATCATACGTCTTCTATTATCAGACTAAGATAAAATATTGTGTTGTTAAATTTTTAATATTTTGACAATTAATAAGAATTTAATATTATAAACAACAAATTATTTATTTATATATATTTTATATATTATAAATATGAAATATAGAAGTTAATAATTTACAAACCTCTGTAGATACATATTTTTCTGCTACATTACATACAACAGTATGTTCAACAGCATATCTAAATGCTAAAATACGTAAAATTTGTTCCTTATCTTTTTTGTTACTTTCTTGATATACATTACATAAAGTACGAGCTTTATTCTAAAATAAAATTTTAATTCTATTTTCTGTATTATATACAAACTTCAGTGCAATTGAAGTTAATTAATATATTTACATATTGATATTTTTATTACTTATAGTTTACATTATTTTATTTATTTTATTATTGTATTTATATTTATATATTTATATATAAAATAAATATTTCATTTAATTTTTTTTAATTTATTAAGTTTGTTTTCATTAAAATAAAATATATCAAATATTATTATCAAATAATATAAATAATAATTTTGATAGATATATTTTAATCATTTTTTATTTTTTTATTTTATTTAATTTGCATATTTAACAACCAATCATATATTTAATTTAATTAGAGAATTAAATAATATATTATATTAAACAATAAATTAAAAATAAAAATATTTTTAAAATTATGAATAGACATTGTATTTAATGTATATTATAAATTTACTATGTATGTATATATGTCAATTACAAACAAAACATAATTATATATTAATTTTATGTAAATAATATATTAAATTTAAGAAAATAGAAAAAAATATATAATTTAATATATCTGAAAGATTTAAAATATAATTTTTGTAACATTATAAAAATATTTTTATAATATTATTTTTATAATTTTATAAAAATGAAAATATCCTTAATTTATTTTTAAAAAATATTAAAAATTAAAAACAAATTATTTTTTCTCTTTAATTTTTAATATTTCTTAATAATAACTAACCTCAATAATCCAATTACTAACATTACTATTTTTAAATCTAAAAACTTCTTTTAATTGTTCTTCAAAAACATTATTTTCACAAGATGTAAAAATATCACGTAGATTTTGTATAAGAAACAATTTTAAAATCTTTGGTGTTGTATTATATTTTAAAAAATAAATTTATTATTATAAATATTAATTAAAATTTTCAAGTGCATTCTACTAAATATCATATTTAAAATTGACAAATAAATACATTAAAAAATACTTTAATTATTTTAAATTATAGAATAATTTTAGACAACTTTTTTTAAATTATTTTATAATACATATATTATTTTTTTGTATTCTTATTTCGAATAAATAATAATAAGAAACATTTGATATATAAAATATATATCAAATATAAATTAGAAAAAGATTATACAAAATATTAAAGATTCTAAAAATTAACTGACAAAAATTAATTATTGAAATGATTGTTAAAGTGATATCAAGCAACTTTTTGTTTTCCTAAAAATTTCGTTTTTGTTTTGTTAATGAATTATTATTGTTTAAGATAAAAGATCATTTCTAATCAAATCCACCAATCAAAGAACGAATAAACATATCATATTAGGTATATGTCACAATAGTCCAACAAATCTCCGAACTCAAAACATTGTTTCTTTTTAGTTAAGTCTGATAATAATTTTAATAGCATGTAATATTATTATAATACAATATATTTAAGCTCAATGTTTTTTGTTAATAATTTATTAATAAAATTAAAATAAAAATTTTTGTAAAGAAAAAAAATTAGTTGACTTATGGGATACCCAATATATAATAAAATATCATAAATATATATTAATTTAATGATAAAAATATTAATAAAAAATAATTTA